GTAACCTTAGTGGCATCAACAAGATTAGAAGATTATATAACATTCATGCAACATCTATATTATACAAAGAAATATAAGCTATTAATAGTCAGTACAAACCCAAAATAAGTTCTTATAAATGTGTAAACTCAAGAAACTGAAAAGATAGACTCAAGTAGAAAGATAATACAAACCTTTAATAGTAGCTACTGAAATAGACTTCACCTAAGGCTGGTTAGCTAAATGTGGCAAGATACTTATCAAGTTGCTCTACCAATTAGGTAAGAGTTTTGATAGCTTGTCTAAGTAAGTTTAATATCAAAAAAGTGAAGTAGGCTAGGATTTGAAAGAAGGATGAAGTATTAGAAAGAGTGGTGAGTGTAGTTAATAGCTTAAGTGAATACCCAGATATCAAGCAGAAAGTTTGGTAGCTTAATTAACAAATCAGATATCTAAGGATTGAAATAGGCTATATTCAATACTAGGAATGATTGTTGATCACATAAGCAGCAAGACAGGATCCTATATTGTGTATTTTGTAGCATTGTTGTATAGAGTTGAATGATAAATAGGAACTTTAACAGCAAAAGAGTGCAATAGGCCAAAAATTTTAATTTTGTAATTTATAAAAATTGGAAGCTGATTGTTCTAAATCTTCAAAAAATTGTGTTTAGAAAAAAATTTTTTTTGTCTCATTACACCTTTTACTGTAGTGGTCTTCAAATTCTAATAACTATCTATAAATTATATATGAATCATGTATAAAATTTGTGCATAATGCATAAAATTTTTAAAAATCTTAATTTGCTCATCTTTAGCTTATACACCAATAAATTAGTGCAGACATTTGCTAAAATATACAGTCAACTCTCTCTAAATGCATGTTCTTTAAATGCATGTTCTCTCTAAATGCAGGTTTAAATTTGGGGCCCATATATATATTTAATTTCTATAAATGCATTTTTCTTAATTGTTCTCTTAATGCATATTGCTAAAAGTCTGGTCCCAATGCAATGTATTTAGAGGGAGTCAACTATATATTGTTAAATATAATAGATATACAAATCATTAAATATAAATAATATATAATTTAAAAATCACCAAATAAAAATTTAAAAACAAATATAATAAAGCTTATACCCACTTACTAATAATTTGACAGAGATATTTTTAAAGCATTTGTTAAATATATATTTTAATAAGAATACTAATAATAATTTTAAAAATAAATATAATAAAATTATACTTATTCTCTAATAATTTGAGGTAGTCATTAAAATATTTGTTGGTTGTATATTTTAAGATCAATAATTATAAAAAGAAATATAATTAAGATTATACTTAACTAGTGATAGAATCCTATACATGATCTATATATGATGTATGTGAATTTTTTATAATTCAGGCCTATACTATAATTCAGATCAAAATTTATAGACATTTTGGCAACCTATTCTACAAATTATATATAAATATACAAGATTTTTAAAAAAATTATAATTTGTTTATTACTACTTACCTATCAACAATTAACAAAGACAATTGTTTAAATATTTGTCAAATATATATTTTAAGATTGTACTTCTTATAGACCAATAATTTGATAAACATTTTTTAAACCATTTTTTAGATACATATTAAAATTAATAATAATTTAAAAACCAATTAAACACATACTAATAGACTAATAATTTTAGAGATAAGGAGGTTTTGTTTGGTTTGATTTGGTTTAATCAAATTTGATTGATGCATTATCTTCATAAATTAGGATTTATATTAAGCTAAATCAAACCAAACAAACTTCTCCATCTTTAAATAATTGGCATATTATAACATCTGTCAGATGCATATTTAACAGTATTAGTAATAAACCAAAAATGTAATTTAGTAACTATCAATAGAAACATATAGCCTATTGCCAACTTTGTACTTTAGAATTAATAGTTTAAAAATAGATATACATTTTGATTGACAATGCCTCAAATTACAAACAAACTTTTGATATAATTAAAATCATATACAGACAAACCTCTCTATAGTCATCCTTTTTATAAGCACATCATATAAAAATTCTTTTTATAAGCACATTTATTTTAAAACCAACTATTATAAATATATAGAAAAAAACCTTTTTATAAGCACATCTTAGTAAAATTCTCTTTACAATCACACAAATCTTTGTTACAGATTAAAATGAAATCTGATCAAAATAAAACTAAAAACTTCTTATATTCACTCTTAAAGTCTATAAAACCCACATATGCTCATTTATTAATAAACCTAACCCTACTCTAATGCTAAAAAGAATCCCAAAAAATGGTCACCAAAAAATTTTAAATTTTCTTTAAAAAACAGAAAATTTCATTTTGATCAGATTTTGTTTTAATCTGTAACAATCTTCATCCTGAGAGGTGTAATTATAAAAAGGTTAGACTATATATAATTAAAATTATTATTATTATTTAGTATTGACATCATATAGTATTTCTTAAAGCTTTTGCTCCTATATGCAATATATATATTTTGCTTCCTATTGTATATACACACTTTATTTCTTTGATAATTCTTTTGATTTTCTAATCAAATAATCCTTTTTGTATATAGTGTTTTGATCCTATTTATTAAAAGTCATTCAAATTGAATTTGAATTCTTTTTATGCATCTGATTTATAATTTGAATTTAGACCAATCTGAATTTATTCAGATATGAATCAGTTTTAAATTAAATGTTAAACTAGTTTTAGAGATCTATTAAAGCTAGATGCATTTAATATATTGATTTACATATTGCAGAAATTATATTCTTGATATCTATATAAACCATTTATGCTAATTGTATCAAAAAAGTAACTATAACTATATCAAAAAGTAATTTTAATGCATCTGGCTTATATATCACATTATTAGTAATTATTGTTATACATATAATTTAATTTACAAAAACAAATTTAATATATATAAAAGTTATTTCTTGAATACTGAACTTTATTTGATTTTGATTATAACCATACTAATAACACACTATCAGGAGTTTTTTAAATCTTTTAATTCTTAATAACATGCTCTATTTCATGATTCTACTCTGGTGTGAAAACAGACATTTTATCTAGATTGCTTTTCAGAAATAGTATTTGACTAACTAAAGTTAGATCTAAATTTATTCTCTTAGAACTAATAAGGTTGCCAGCTGCTGAAAATAATCTTTTACTTAACACTGACATCGCTAGTATTGCAAAATATTTTCAGACAATTTTGGTGAGTTTTGAAAAATTTTGTAAATACATTTTCCACTAATATAAAGAATCCTCTGTTTTCAATACTAATAGTAATGATAAGTAATTAGAAATTTCATCAACACTTTGTAGTTTTGAAACCAATTTATTATTCCTTTTTTTTCTTTAATTAGCATTGTTGAAGATATACTTTGTGTGAATGTGTTGAAGATTCTATATTAGATGGAGTTGGATTCAGATTAATTGAGATATCAAATGCTAGTTCTTCTATATTATCAAGTTTATTATAAAGTTTTTGAATAATAGATTGCTTTTTAGATTTATCCACCAAAAATCCAAACTTTTATTATGAAGGTCTAGTAGAGTTGCTATTAAACTGAGATCAGATCATTCCAATAATAGATTAATGCTTCATAGATATTTTGTTTAATTTTATTCAAAATATCTGTTATATCTTGTGAGTTTTTAATTAAAATCCTTTTTTTAGTAATATTGCTAATAATTTTATCATTATCTATATCTATAGGTTGCTTTCTTCTGTCTCCAATTCAAATACAGTATTTTTATTCAAAAAAAGCTTATTATTCAATAGTGTTTCAATTGCTAAATTATAAATCATTTCTTTAATGATAGAAATTACTTTATTTAATATTATATAAATATTTTCTAAAAACTCTTATATTGCTTCTTCAAATAGCATTAAAAGATCAATAAGCTATCTAATAATTCTCATTCTTAATCTGAAAGAAGAAGTTTTTTTAACTTACTACCATCTTTTTTTCTTACTTTCTATATCTACTGATGTATAAAGATCAGCTTGAAGTTGAATAATAGCATCATTTAAAAAAAATATGAATTCAAGAATAATATGGAAGTAAATCAGTAGAAATGTGACAAATTTATTAGATAAATTTGTCGCATTTCTACTGATTCACCTCCATATGATGAATTCTATCTTGTGAACATGTTTTAATTACAATACACAATATTTATATAAACTAATTTTATTTATACTTTCTCTAGTAATTTTATTTGTTTTTGAGATTGAAAAAAATGAACTAATCTTTTTGTATATACTACTAGATTTTGGCTAATGCAAGTCCTTTTCTAATTACTAATTAAAGAATATAGCCATATATAAAAGATGCTTAATTTTATTACACTTATCTTTTTGGTTTAATAAAGGAAAAGCCACAACTATATTTGACCTATTATCAGTAATGATAATATGATATAATTTCTAAAATTCTAAGCTTCAATACACTTATAAAGTTCATCAGTAATTATTTTACTAGTATGTGGTGAAAGAACAAATTTATTTTCTAATATTACATCTTTAATCTTAAAATTTGGTGTGATTCAGGCTGCAATAACTTCAAGATATCTGTGCTTAACTCTACTAGACAAGAAATCTATTGTTAAAGAAATATTTTCTGCTGTTTGGGTAAGAAGATTTTGTAAATTTTTTTATTATATTTATAACTTTTAACAAGCATGTTTCTAATTTTTTTTCTCTTCTGACATAATAAAAGCAGGATCAAACTTGGCTATTTTTCTTTATATGCTTCATTAGTAACTGTAGAAAGGAGCTGGTTTGTAAATAATATCTACTTTAGAATTGTTTCTTCATGCTTTTTTTAAATGCTTTTAGAATAGGACAAACTTTTTGTACAAACTCTATAATTTTAAAATTTTAAAACTAAAAAAAAAATAAATTAAACTAAAAAAATAAAATAAAAGTAAAAAAAAAAAAATTTATAAAATTTTTGACTATTTTTATATCCAACTCTACTTTAAATTTTATTTTATATACTTCTTTTACAACTTTTACTCCATTCTGTAAAACAATTTCATGGATATCTCTAAGGTGCATAATAAGATTTCCTGTTGAACTTTCAACATTCTTGCATTTTGCTCCACATTTTACATCATTTTTATCCACAACTTTGCAAACTCAAACTTCTTCACCTTCTTGTCAAAATATTCATGAGTGAATAATGGATTTTGCATTTGAATTGTTTTTTTTCTTGATTTATTAGCTAAAGCAAAATTTTAAACATTAATATATTTATAAATTTAACCATTATTATATTTATATTTTAATACATTTTTCTTTTTTTAAAAGTGATGTTTGAACGTTAGGCTTTGTAATTCCAGATTAACTAAGGGTCTGTGGCAAGGCTTCTAAACTTTTATCAGATTTAGAATTAAAGTCATTGCTATGATATTCAATATTATAATTATTCATCAAAAATATATAAAACACAAATATTGGATTGATTAGTTTATTAGTGACTTATCAGATAAGCTTTAAGTGCTTTAATGTATTTATAAAAACAAAAATGCTTTATTTACAAGCCTATCAGTTTTTTTATTAATCATTAATTTCATTAATTTTATCATGCTTTATATTCATAACTAACAAATTTATGATAAACATATATTAGAATTCTTAGAATTCTATCATAAGTAAACAAAAAATCTGCCTAACTAAGAAATTAAACAAGACACATACTTGAACTTGGTAAAATATTTATTCATCTTTTCTATCAGGATGCTAAAGAAAACAGTCTTTGCTGATTATTAAAAATAAAATCTGCAAATCAATTTTAAATTGATCATATTAAAAAAAAATTAATTAATTCAGAGAAGTTATTTTAGTCATTTGCCATATAAGTACTATCAAGAGAAAGCCTATTATTTGGTTTTCAATTATATTTTATACCAGACTTAATTAGTCTAATTTATTAAGAATTATATCTAGCATAAAATACAATTGAAAGATGATGCAGGTTTTTCTTTGACAGCACTTATATATAGTTAGTTTAATAGAATGAATAATATAAATTGAAAAAGGTTAGTATTAGGAGTATAAAAAAATATTCAAATTTGATTAATAGGATTTAAAATTTACCAGTTTCTGGCTAAAAAAAATCTTAAGCATATTTATTCAAATTTTTATCCAGAATTTGCAGTTTAAAAATAATTAAATAGCATTAAATTGATTTGACTGACTTTTAAGTTTTTTATCATTAAAAAATAAACTATAAAATATTTCTCAATTATTCTTATTTAAGTATTACATTTTCGTTATTTTGATTAGTTCAGCTTTCAATTATCCTTTATCTTGAATTGGAATTTTTTAAGCAGATTATATAGCTTGAAAATTAGCATATACTATCAATATACAATATATTTAAATCAGATTGTGTAATATTTATATTATATATATAAATACTTAAAAGGCAAAATAATTTTAATTAAATTTAGTACTAGTGATAAAATGTTAATTTGCTAATAATGAAAGCATATATATGTAGAATTATTATTTAGATGATCTTTATTCTTTATCCAAAATATATTAATGTATTAAGTATCAAGTGGTCACTGCAAGTGCTGGTTTTGCTAATATCAAGTTTGTATAATAAGAAAAATTAGATATTGAATTGGTCAGTTCAAATATAGTAAATTCGACTAGATGAAGTATTGTTTGATCATGTATAATGAGTATTATCAAAGTGATCACCAATATTATACATATTAGAGTGATATAGATAATTGATGAGTTTATATTTAGCTAAAGAGCTATGGATATTATCATGTATATTGAAGTCATCAAGAACAATAGAATAGAACTTTTGTTGTAGAGCAAGTTGAATCCAATTGATTATAATATCTTGGGTTAAGTTTCTTTTTAACATATAGGTTGATAAAAGATATACAGAGATAATACAAAGTTTAATATTACTTTTAAAAAATAGGTCAATAGCTATAGCACCACCAGGATGTGTAAGGCAATTATGAATATAAGGCTAAAGAAAGTTGTATATCATAATAGCAGAACCTTCTGCAAAGCTATTAGAGTAAGCCCAAATGTATGTGAAGAAATTATTGTTGCAGAATGATAGATTAGGCTTATCAGAAATTTTAGTTTCAGTAATGCAGGCAATATGAATATTGTAATCAAGGCAGTAGTGTTGCTAGGCTTCTCTTTTGGTGACTGAGTTAAAGCCTCAGACATTATGTATTGCGATATTGAGATGTAGGTCTCTAATTTGGTTAGAATATTGATTATAAGAGCTGTTAATAAATTCTTAGTCTCTTGATGATATAGGTAAAGTGGATGAGTTAGAGATGTTTTAGTTAAAGTTTTGCAAAAATGTAAGTAGATCAGAAGGTAGAGACTCAAGTTCATTAGAACGTAATTTAGAAGATAGAGACTCAAGTTCATTAGAACATGATTCAGAAGCTACTGATGGAGAATAGGTAGATATAAAAATAGGTGTATTGAATTGTGATTTAAGAGAAATATTATGTAAATCATTGGCAGATAGAGTATAGTAGCTTGGTAGTATATTGTGTTGATGTGATAAGTACATATATGCTTCACTTTTATTACTGTAAACAGTAATAAAAGCATGATCTGCTAAATAGTTAATATTGTTTTGTCATAAATGTTGTAAAAAAGAATTAACAGTTTGTAGTTTTCTTAATAAAGGAAGTTGGTAGTAAGTAAAAAATTTGTTATAATATATTTTCAAATCATAGAAGTTGGATGACATTGGTAATGATTTGGATGAATGTCCTTCTGTAGGTGCGCTCACCATTTTAAGCTTAGTTCTTATAGCTGCGAAGAGTTCCATAGTCTGCTATGTATATTTGGTCTGACCATTATTAGCCTAATCCTCAGCGTAAATAGACTTAACCACCCATCTACTTACATCATTCTCTTATGAGAAAGGCCCACTAGAAGTGGAGGATATCGTTATTTCAGAAGTGGTAGCTGCTTTAATAAAATTTATAGGAGTAATTGAAAAGGACTATATGAGAAAGTAGTAATAAGTTTGGGATTTTGTTATAAATTTTTGTTAGAGTTAGAGTTTTTGTTGTTAGTAGTTTGATCATTTGTGTTGATAGTAGAATTATTATTTAAGTCTGTTAGACTGACATCATTATCTTCATTAAGTTTAGAGAGGTGTTTGGTCTTTATTAGACTTAGGTGGAGTTTGATCAGTGGTATCCTTTGATTGTTGTGAAGTAGAGGATTTAGATAGACTAATAATACCAGAGTAGAAGAAAATATTTGATAGTATTTTTGGTGTTCTGAAGTTAATATTGTACTTTGTATATATAATATCTTGTGCTTAAGGAAAAAATGTTTCTTTATAAACTTTTTTGATATATGAAATAGAAAGTATATCTTCAGTTTTTAGGATATGGAAGTAGGTAAGAACATGAGCGAGATAGTCAGTTTTGATAGACTTAGTAGTAATTTTGTCAATTGCTTGTTGAAGATAGAGATTGTTGATTTGGTTATTTTTAGCAGTGGCTTTAAGGAATGCATGAAGGTAGCTATAAAAATAGTAACTTTTATGAGATTAGTCAGTTTCAACTTTGTTTAGTTCAATAATTTTTCTTCAGTTTCAGTAGCAAGTTTGCATAGAAAGGGAATTGGAGTAGATTTTTGGAATGTTCCAGCTTGTTCTTTGTCTTTATCAAATATTGAGAAGTCAAGGTCAGGATGTATATATACAATTTTAGGTATTGTATAAGTAGTTTTAGAAGGAGCAGAAAAGTGGTTAAATGATTCTTTAAAGAAAAATACAGATAGGTTTTTAATATTATGTTCAGTATCATTATGAAGAGTAGTGCAGTTTTCGACAATACAAGTATAAAAGTGGTAGAGTGCAGCTCTGAAACACAAGAAAGGTCTATTACGTAAAGAATTAATACTAGTAATAAAAAATTCTTTAAGAAGCAATGCTTTATATATGTTAGAGAGCTTAAGTCCAATTTGATATTTGATATGATTATATGTTTTTTGTTTGTCAATATTAGTAAATTAACATTTGTAAACATCAAAGAATTTGTTTTTTTTTTTTTTTTTTTTTTAAAGTGAGGTTTTGCCTTTATCTTTATTAATATTTTGTATTGAGAATCCACTATGAGTTTCTTTGACCAGAGCCAATTTACAAAAATTTTTACAAGAATGAGACTCAGACTACTAGAAATTATCTAAACTAGAAATTTTGATTCATCTGCAATCTAAACCTACTAGAGTGGTTATAACTAATCTAGATTTGATAATATAAGATATTGTTAGTTGAGATGCTATATTTAATTCATGTAATAGTCCATAAAGATATTTTTCTAATTGCTTTTCCAAGGGGTGGATAAATATTATCATTATGTTGTTGATCTGGTAAGCTGCAAAGGCAGCTATAAGTGTTTGGTATTCTAAATTGTATTGTGTTTTGAGTGTTTGTTATATAAGTAGTTGTTGTACTGTGATTGAGTCTTGAAGTAAAAGTAGTTAGATAGTTGTTTTTGTTGCAATTTGGGTAGAGTTTGTGTATTCTCTTATAGTTTGTATAAGAGATATAGGAATAAACTCTTGTATTGTTGTATACAGGTTAATATTATTATGCTAGTGATTGTGTAAAAAGCTTTGATGATTTATAAGCCTAGTTTGTAATTTTTGTAATTGGATATTAGTGATATCTAGTCTGGATTGTTGCAAAAATTGTTGAATAGTGTTGGTGATGAGTGTATTTAGTTTGGATATATTTGAGCTGATAAGCCAGTGTTCTTGATTTTCTCTTGAATTACATGTTATACAGTTGTTTGTTAGAATTAGCGATGGATATAATGTATGTTGATATATTAGAGTAGGAAGTGTATTAAGTATAAGCTTAATTTTAAAAGTCTTTTGCTGATATAGTTTAAAGTTGGTATAGATAGTTGATCTTTTGTAATTGTTGTTTAAATATAACTAGGTTGCGTTCTAGTTAATTTGAAATGATATAGGTATACTGTTGTCTATTCGATATTAAGATGATCACATTGCAATAATATAGGCATTGCATATGTTTTTAATAGATCTGTGAGTTGGTTGTTCAAATATATATTGTTTGTATTAATTTGATATAATGGATTATATATATTGTTGTTTATAAACTGAAGTGTAGTTAAATAGTTAGCATTTTTTGCTAATCTATCAGCTAGGTTATTAAAGGCATTGTTACTATGTGCTATAACTTTTTCTAATTGAATGCTGAGCTCGTAAGCTTTGATTAAGTTAAGTAAAGTATGCCATATTGGCCAGTAATTATAAGACTATCTTTTGTTAGATGTAGATAGTGACTGTATAAGTTTTTTGTATTTGGATATAATAGATTGTAAGTCTGTGTAAATAGTAATAAAGCTTTTCTTTAGACATATACTAATAGCAGAAAGTATTGCAATTAG